ATTGCAACAAAACAAACGTTCCTTCCCAAGGTGAATTCTGGCAAAGGTCACAGTAATCAAAAAGCTGTAGATGTGCTCAGGTCTGTGCTAATATTTGTCAGAGATAAGGCAGCCAGGACCTTGGAATTGGAATAGGACATCTTGGGTTTGATTCCTGGCTCCATCACTTCCTACTTAGCCTGCTTCCTCATTTATAAGATGGACATATGAATAGCTGGTCTATGTACCTCACAGAGTTATTGTGAGGACTGAGTGACATAATTCACATGAACAGACTTTGCAATCTGTAATATGCTTTACACAATGTGCCCCAAACCCTGGAGAAGTCCACACATTGAATTCAAGTCCAGACTCTGATATTTATGTGTGACTGGGGCAAATCTCTTCATCAGTTTGGGCCTCAGTTTTTTGTTTTTTTTTTAATTTCCTTTTCAAAATGAAAGGGTTTAAGGAAATAATTTCTAGGGTTCCTTCTGGCTCCAACAGTCGGTGATTCTGTGGTAAAAGTAAGAGATAACCTGCAGAAAAAATCAAGAGTATGCCAAATGGTTAGGCTGTAAGGAGGTACTAGATGCCCTAAGGTAAAGCAGGAAGGACCCAGGAGAGACTGAGCAATGTTGCAAGCCAAGACAAGCTGGAGTAAGTAAGGAGTGACTACATGCCTGTACTGTACAAAATTAATGTATCCTTTGTTTCCTGAGATTCCCTCACAATGTAGGCTCTACAGGCGTGGAGCATTGCAATGGTAATGAGAGGGAGGGGCAGTGCTGGAGAAGCAAAAAGAGAAGGGTCAGAAATCTCAGGAGGACATTTAGAGAAGAATCCCTCTTCAGCTCAGAGGCGGCTGCTGCTATTTGTCCTTCATTCTTGAAGAGCACCTTGGCATCAGGGAGGTGATGCCACGGCATGCAAGTGAATTGGATTTAAGTGAGGAAGGGCTGTGCAAGGTCACCAGCCTCACTTTCTCCTCTAGAGCTACCTGCGTCCAATGGCCAAATATATGGATCAGGATGCCTGGAGATGGCCCAGGATGCAGTGGGGGACCTTGACCTTTTCAAGCTAAGGTCTTGAGGAGTTGGAGCTCAAAAGTTATCCAGCAGCTGCAGAGCCAGCTGGGAAGTATTCCATTCAGGATTTTGTCACATTGTATAAACAAATCCTTGTCCCATATTTCCTTTAAATTCTCAATGTGATTCAATTCAATTCAACCAACATTCTATCAGGTGTCTGCTACATTCAATACATTGTACTTCTGAAGTCTTTCCACTTCCGCTACAATCACCCTCCTTCAGAATCTCAAATTTTCTATTGTTTATCAATCAATTAACATTTATTAAGTACCTACTATGATCCAGGCAGTGTGCTAGGGTTTGGGGATGATGGGGTGCTAATGATGGATCCCTAAAAGGCCCCAGTTTTCCCCTCGTGGTGCAGTCCCTGGCTTTAGCCTGAGGCATCTGGCCCACCCCAGCCCACCTTGATTACTTAATTAGCTTACTTTACACTCCTTAATCCCATCCAGGCCCTTTTTTGTGTTACCTCTGGACCGCCCCAGGCTACTTGCCACTCTTTAATCCCAACCAGATCTTCTCACAGTCTTTTTCTGTATAAATGTAATCTTACTCTCATTAAATTGCACAGATCCTTAGAATCTGGCTCACTTCGTATTGGCATGACAAATACCATAGACTCACTAGGAATCTTACCCATACAACCTGTGTCATAATTAACTTATTTACTTGGATTGAAAGAAGATTAGAATGGTCAAATTGTTTTGAGGCAGACCCACCCCATATTTTGGGGTTCTTAGAACCCCTAGACCTCATCAAGGATGTAAAGACATGAAATAATCACTGATATTCTTGCTTTCAGTCTCTCTTTTCTCTCATCTATCCTTCACTCTTCTGCCCTGGAAGTCTTTTTAATGCTCTATTCTATTCATGTTATTTCTTAATAATAGGAAGCTACCCTCTCTGGGCTACCTTCCCAATTTGGCATTCCCAAGTTTTAGATTGAATTCCTAGGGAGCGACTATTACCTCAAATTCAAGGAACTTTGCAGGCCATGCTATTAACACTATATCTCATAATATCACCCCCTACTCCCAACCTTACCATTGTCATTAGCCAATAAATATAATTAGATCAAACAAAGGTGTTTGCTAAGATAGCATAGTAGGAATAATAACTACAAAATATTTTCCCTTGCTCCCATGGACCTGGGACACATTCTTCCACAAATCCACTCATCATAAATGATAAGAGTAGGCCATATACTTAGGAGGTACTTTGGGAGGCATAAATACAGGGAATGCATATGACCAAGGCTTTTGGCAGTGTAGGGCCCAAAGGTCCTTTCTCTTCTCATAGTGATCTCCTGCTTCTTCCCCTCGAGTATTGGACAAGTTGCTCAGATTGGTTCTCTGGGTCTGTTTCAATCAATAAATCAATAAACTCTTATCAATTTCCAGGCATTAGACAAAGCACTGGGGATACAAAAAGAGGCAAAAGATAGTCCTTACCCTCAAGGGGTTTACAGTCTAATGAAGGAGACAACAAACAAACACGTATATAGAAACAAGCTACATACAGGATAAATAGGAAATAATTAACAGAGAGATACTAGAAATTTCCTGGAGCTGAGAGATGAAGTATCTTGCACATGGAATAGCAGGGAGCTCAGTGTCACTGGATCAAAGAGTATGTGGCAGGAAGTAAGGTGTAAAAAGGCTATAAAGGTAAGAGAGAATAAGTTATGAAGAGCTTTAAATGCCAAACAGAGGATTTTGTATTTGATCCTGGAGGTGGTAGGGTGCCCCTGGAGTTTATCGAGAGGACTGAGGGGATTGACATAATCAGATCTGCACAGCTTAAGCTCTGACAATAGGGATAAATTTTCTTTTGTTTCCATAACTGATTCTCTTCTTTGCAATCAGGGGTCATTCTCCTCAGACCTGCCTTTGCCTCCACTGACTATCTCTTTTTCTGACTCAGTGAACCTATAGTTATTCTACAAGATATGATGGTAAAAAGGAGTGAGTAAGGAAGTGAGGAAATTGTTCCCTCCCCTACTGCCATCTGATAAAAGCAAGGAGTAATTTCTCAAGAGTTAGATTCTTTCTTCATAATCGTCCATTCTCTCTACTGCCGGGGGTCACACTTCACAATTGTCTCTGGGTCCACTATTTCCAAAAGCTCACTAGCTTTCTCTTTATAAGCTTCCTTGAGGGCATGGCCATTCTTTTCCAGGCAATGGCAAACTATTCTTCTAATTTTATAAAAGAGAAGATCTTCACTTTTTTTTTAAAGGAGCAACAGTGAAAACTTTGCATTTTGGGGCAGCTAGATAGGACAGTGAATAGAGCTCTGGCCTTAGAGTCAGGAGGACCTGAGTTTAAATCCATCCCCAGACACTTAACACTAGCTGTGTGACCCTGCGCAAGTTACTTAACGCCGATTGCCTAAGGGGGGGTGGGGGGTGGAACAAACAAACAAGCAAAAAACCACCAACAACAATTTTGTATTTTTTTTACAACAAAATCTTCTTATCTCTGCCACCTTCTTCTTCTATTTCATTAAGTGTGTTGAAGAAAGGGAATGGATTGATCAGGACTATCCTGACCAACTTCTTTATCTCAACTATAATAATAACTCATAATAGTATTTCATAGCTTACAAAGCAATTTATTCACACAACCCTGTGAAGTAGACAAATATGGTTCCTCATTTCTCATAAGAAATCTGAACTGGGAGCTTTGGAATTTGGCTATAGTATTCCTGGGAATTTTCATTTAGGGATCTCTTTCAGGGGGTGATTAGTAGATTCTTTCAATTTCTATTTTACCCTCTGGTTGTAAGATATCTGGACAGTTTTCTTTTATAATTTCTTGAAATATAATGTCTAGGTTCTTTCTTTGGACATGGCTTTCAGGCAGTCAAATAATTCATAAGTTATCTCTCCTCAGACTATTTTTCAGGTCAGTTTTTCCAATAACATCTTTCAATTTTCTTCTATTTTTTTCTTTTGACTTTGTTTTATTGTTTCTTAATGTCTCATGGAATCATTAGCTTGCACTTGCCCAATTTTAATTTTTAAGGAATTATTTTTTTCATTGAGCTTTTTTTCAAAACCTTTTTTCCATTTAGCCAATTCTTTTGTGGGGGGTGGAGGCAATTGGGGTCAAGTGACTTGCCTAGAGTCACACAGCTAGTGAGTGTTGGGTGTCTGAGGCTGGATTTGAACTCAGGTCCTCCTGACTCCAGGGCCAGTGCTCTATCCACTGCGCCACCTAGCTGCACCACCAATTCTGTTTTTTTCAAGGTATCTTCTTCCACATTTTTGATGCCTCTTTTCCTAAGCTGTTATTTGTCTTTTCATATTTGTCTTGCATTGCTCTCATTTCTTTTCCCATTTTCCCCCTCCACTACTTGTATTTGATTTTTTAAAATAAAATTTTAGTTCTTACAAGATTTCTTATTGGGTTTATGTCCAATTCACATTTTTTTTTTCCTTCTGAAGCTTTACTTATAGATGTTTTAACATTGTTGTCATCTTCTGAGTTTGTATCTTGACCATCTTCATCACCATATAGGTTTTTATGGTCAGGTTATTTTTATTGTTGTTATTTGCTAGTTTTTCCAGAGTATTTCTTGACTTTGAACTTGATTTTAAAGTTGGGCTCTGTTCCCAGGTGATGATGGGGTAGCACTGTACCCCAGTTTCAGGCTTTTTCACACTGCTGTTTTCAGAGCTAATTCTAGGGGTTTGGAAGTTTTTGGTGCTTCCAAACTGGTATGATCTGGAAAGAGGTGTGGTCACTGCCCTTACCCAAAATGAGTCCCTGATCCCCAGGGCCCCTGTTGTCTTGTGACCAAAAGTATTCTTCTCTGCCCTAGAACTGTGACTTGAAAGTGGGTATGGGAAATGGAATTGCCAAACAGCACCTGGTCCCGTGCCCAGTTAGCATAGGGCCCCAGGATCATCTCTTTCTGATCAGTTACCTGACCTGCTTACTGTCTCTGGGCTGAGAGCTGCCAAAGTTGCTGCTGCCACCGTCACATTATCTCCAAGGTCTACAGCCGGTGGTGCTGTCATGTGGGTTCCAAGCCAGCCTCCACCTCAGTCTCACATACCTCTTCTTTTAGTCTCTTCAGTTCTCTTGAGCTGAAAAATGTCTCACCCTGACCTTTTGCTGGCTCTCTTGCTTTAGAACTTGACTTGAGACATTATTTTCAAGTTTGAAGGAGAATGTTTGGAGATTTCATCTGCTTCTTCTATTCTGCCATCTTGGCTCCATTCCCTCTATTCTTCTTTCATAAGAAATCTGAGGCAGAGAGGTGACACAATTTGTCCAAGGTTCACACAGCAAATAGGACTTGGACTCAGGGCTTTTCTCTCTAGCACTCTTCATCATTCCATTCTGTCTTTTATGTGGCAATAGTGCTTCCTTTGCTCAATATTCATGGATGGCTCACTGGAATCTGTGAAGAGGTCTAGAGGTTTGGGGTGCTCGGACCCCAAGATCGCAACATGGGCCCTGCCTAAATGAATTCAACCCAAATCTTCTTCCAACCAGAGAAAAAGCTTATTAGAGATAAATCATATAGGCAGACTCTTAAGGAATCTGAACATTAGTAACGCCCATAGGGACAAGTGGGCATGAGAAAATCTCAGCGTTTGAATGGGGGCCAGGGTGGATCTTATATACACTAAAGTAACTTTGGGTGGCCAGAGGAAGTGGGGGGGGGTGTTGGGAAAAGGGTCTAGGTGAGGATTCTGATTGGAAGCTCTCAGAGATTGAATAAACAATGGGAATAGATAATGAAGGGAACTAGAAGGAGGAAGTTTGAAATGCATCTGAATAAGATCAAAAGGTAGGGCCAGGGCTTTCAAAGGGAGATGAGGGGAGTCAATAAGGAACCTAAAAATTTAAAGGTGTTCTGGGACCCATAGACAAAAGGGAGCCAGATTCTTTTTAGGGCTAGGGGCAAAGGTGCATCTGAATAAGATCAAAAGGTAGGGTTAAGGCTTTCAAAGGGAGATAAGGAGCTGGGGCCTGTAGAGCCAGATTCCCTTTGGGGCAAGGGGTGAAGATCTAGGCTTGGGCCCATACCCTATTATCTACAGTATCTATCAAACATTCACAACGCTCTATCTTTTTCTCCAAGTCCAACCTACCCTTTCCCTATAAAGCGTCCTGCACATAATTTATGTTCTAGCTAAACCAAACTATTCTCTGTTGCTTGTTCTTATCTTGTTCTTCGTTCACTCTGTTCCTTCACACTGGGAATAGACTTGCCTCTCATCTCCAGAACCTGTTAAAGTCCCTCCCATTCTTCAATGCTCCCTGACTTTACCTACCCCCCCAAGTTGAAAGTTGTCTCACCCTCAAATTTTTCATAGCATTTTGCATTATCTTCACTCTTGACCTTAGAATCATAAGTAATTTGTATGCGTATCTTTCCCTTCATTAAATTATAGACTCCCTGAAAAAAGATTCTTTATAGCATTCAGCATTTATCATAGTGCCTTCCACATAGCAGGTGCCTAATGGATGTTTATTAAATTGAACCCAGTGTCCATCTACTATTCCTTTCTTCATTTCAGCTGCATTTTTTCCAGTCTTAGTTTTGGTCATCACCCCATCTCTATCTCATTTCATCTCCACTTGAAATGAAAACTTACATTAAGAATGAATGAAAAATAACTTATTAGAAATTATGTGAAAGGCTATGTGGTAAAGGCCAAATACTTTCAAAGAGTTCACTTTCTAATTAGGGAAGAAAATACAGTTAGGTGGTTTCAACTTCAAGTCAGATGGAAGGACCTATGATTCTTACGATGCAACAACAAAACACAGAATAATGTACCATCTTTAATGTTTTATTTGCTGATAGAAAACATCCACTTCTGAAAAAGGCTAAAGACTTTTGTGGTAAGAACTTTCTTTTCCAGATCTTTAATATCTGTGACTGCTGACTCAATAGGGACTGACATACTTACAGAAGCAGTTTTCATGCTGTGACAATGACCCATTGGTGAGTTATGGGGGTGTCTACAGCAGGTATGTGAATACCTCTAGTGGAAAAGACAGGTGAGAACTTTTTTTTTCAATGGACATGAACGTGGCTGAAGTAGATTCTATCGAACACTTAGAGCTTGGTCAGACAATGAAGACACTGAATCCCGGGCCATCTTCACTCGACTTGATTTTTGTCCTGCCACTGGATGCCCATGACTCTGGCAGAGAGAATGAGGCTGATGATTTTGTGCAACTCTGCTTCATTTAAATCCAATTCATGTGTGAGTCAAGACATCACTCTGTTGTATCATTGGTCCACTTTGAAAACAAAGGACAAACAACAACAATAATGGAAGTCAGTTCAAAGAGAAGTGAAAACAAAAGAAATATATCTTACCCTAGCTTTCATAGGCTGATCACTCTTTAAGTGATTTAAGTGATTAAGGACTCTTTAAGTCCATAATACACTTCAATTATAGGAAGTGTCCAATAACCATTCCATGATTGAATGAAGTAGAAACTCCATGTAATAGTAAGAGTTCTATAGAAAGATTTGCAGCATTATTAGGTAGACTGTTTGTAGAGGATTGATTCAAGGACATAGACAAGAATCACATAAAAAGGCATGGATGAGTTACCATTTTTACCCTTTTGCCTGAAAGCTCATATCTATTGATGTATTAATGGGTATTCTAATGCAGAATGTGGTATTCCCCAACTTGCATTTAAATTGACAGGGCCTTCAGAGGGCTGACCACCCTTGGGTTCTAGGGTTAACTCTGCGGGTCCTCATTCCTACCATTAGCTCATGAGCCCCAACCAGTGTGCCAGTTGCTCCCCATTAACAATCACCCAGTAGATACAATTAGCTCTTAAATCATTTACTTAAATGACATAGCAAGAATAGTAATTATAAAACATTTCCCATAAACTTGGGGCACATTGTCCTACAAATACATATAGCACAAATGAAAAAAAAGTTAACAAAAACTATGTAATGGTACTGGGGGACATGTGTAGAGTACAAATGTGTCAAAGGCAATTAAATCTACTAGCATGGCAGGGCCTTAGAAATACTTTTTCTCATCATAGAACCTTATATAGCTCCCCTTTCATGCAGCATATCTGCTGGTGGGCTTCTAGGGCATATTTCTCTCCATAGTTCAAATTTGAATGTGAGGGCTAACTCCTTGAAGCTGCTTTTTGCTTCAGAGGGCTTCAGCTCAGCTGGGCTTCTAGGTGCAGAGGTTCCAAAACTGGGTGATACCACCCCCTGGGGGCACTGAACTGATCCAAGGGGGCAGTAGTAACCTCGGGTGCAATTGGGGGAGGGCATTGAATAAAAATAAGGGGGCCATGGAAGAATAAGGAAAGAAGAGAAGATAAGAAAATTTTGAAAAAAAGTTTTTACATGTTTCATCTGTAGTATAACAGAGTTAAAGTCATAGTGATTACATTATTTTCCAAATAAACACACAAAATGCAAGTTATATCTGATCAGTGGTCAAGTCCGCTGACAGGTCTTTACAAGCAAACATTGGCGGGCAAGTGTGTGGTGCATTGTCAGAAAGTCCAGCAAGCATTGGCGGGAATATGTGCATGTAATGACTTCTTTACAATATGATATTATATGGTTACATAATGTAATATTGCATCATCAAAATTTCAATGCAGAAAAACCCCACAAATTTACAATAAATTATTAAATTTAAGATGCATAATAAAAAACATGTTTTATATATTTTTGAAGTAATGCAAATTTTAAAAAAATGTTAAGGGACTAAAGAAAGTAGATTTCCAGTAGGGTTCTGAGTATTTTTTTTTAAAAGGGGGAAGTAGGCCAAACAAGTTTGGGAACCTCTGTTCTAGGATATACTTCTCTCCACAGTTCAAATTTTGATTGTGAGGACTAACTCTTGAAGCCATTCCTCCTTCAGATAATTGTCTATGTATCTATGTCTGTCTGGCTTGTCTCTTCTCCCTTCCTGTTGTTGAATCTCCTACTGGCCCATTACTTCTGGTAACATGGCCTGTGAAGGGGAGGGAAAAAAAGTCCTCCTTGCTTGCTGCCCTCTGATATAGACACAGGGGTCTCTTCCATAACTGCGACCCACTCTTAAATTCTGAAACTTGTCCAGGGTCTAGCAATTTAAAGTCCACAGAAACATGTCTAACCTGCATACTCAGTTATGTTCTTCCCCTAATGACCCAATTAGAGATGTATTCAAATCTTACAAAGAGATTAGGGCATATATACATGTTTACACATTAAACAAGCATCATTTGTGACTATAGTCTGTGGCTACTTCAACTGATTTGGAGAGGAAGGGGAATCATCCTATCTTATACCAAGTAAAAGGAATAGCAATGATCAGGGAAGGAGGGAATGATCAGGGGAAGGGAGGAAGAAAGATAAAAAATGTGTTTGAGAAACAGTAACTTGTAGCTTGTTTGGCACAGAGAAAGTAAGCAAGGATATGATGGAACATATGGTTATAAGGATAGATTAGGGTCAGGTTGTGGAGGGCCTTAAATACTAAGAAAGAGTTTATCCTCTATTGTTAGTCAATGACAAGCTTCCAAAGGCTTATAAGCAAACAAAAGCAAAAATGCGTATTAAGAACCACTAGTGTGGCAGAGACTAAAGCAGTTGAAGGGCAACTGAGTTGATGTGCTAACAAAATTTTGACTTTGTGCGCTGATTTGGATTATAGGTATCCTGGCTTCCTTTCACTAACATGTAGGATTCAATTGGCCATACAAAAAATTTAATAACATTTAGACCTTTGTAAAAGTTCCAGGACCTAGGGGTAGCAATTAGGTGTTTTAGATTGGATAAATAAATAATCAGCTACTAACTCACTGAATTCTTTACTTTCTCACAACTGTTGGCATGTTGTTTAGTTATAGTCATGGTTGGTTGTCACGTAACTGCTACACTCTCTCTGCCTGTGTTTTTTCTTTATATAAAATAGAGAAGACAGACAATGCTGCTCTAGCAATGAAAGTTGGTGTTTTATACGTAATGATAAAACCCTCAGAAGCCACAAAAATGTTTACACAAAGGTTGTAT